GAAAATAAATATGTTATGATAGTGGTCACTGATATGCAGTTTGGGGTGCAACCTATATCACTTGCTGCTTCAATCTGATCGGTAAATAATAAGTAAAGGAAGAGGGGCAAGACTGAAGATCTTATTTTGTTGGTTCACAAACCCTCTGTTCATATACACGCTTAAGAAGAGTAAGCGTATTAGCTGTTCAATTGCAGTCAATTTTAATTCCTACCAACAGGAATATGGGGCAAAAGGCCACTTATTATCAGACACCCGATTGTAGTACTTCAAATCCTCTGATGAGCCAGTACGAAGTTACCAGCTTCTCAGGTGAAACTTCTGCCACAGGACCTCAGTTCGTGGTAATAACAAACTTGTGACTTAATTGGTGCCTGTTTTGAGCTCTACTAGCAATTCTGACTTTATTCTCATATCATTTCGAATGTTCCGCTCGCCAATTAGTGGTTGCATCTGCCCCGCCAATCGATAGCGATGACTTTAACCGCTAGCTTTTTCCTATTCTCCTTCATATGTTAACCTATTGGATGTTAGAAGTCTAACTGCTTCTTTAAAGCGATCTCTACACATTTACAACAGAATTTACATATCGATGGAGATGATGGCTTACTGCAGCCCCTGTAGACCTAGGATTTCAGACCGGTGCAAACTACAAGAGACATCAAGAGATGTAAAGTGACACAAGTCGACAAAGAATTAACGAAAAGCAATAAAGACGCTTCTTTGACTGGAGTATTCACTTAAAGTATTTGCAATTAACCCGACAAAAGTCGGCGTGTGCTGTTGTCTAGGATTGAGAAACCTCACAAGAATACCCAAATGGAAAGAGAAATAAAAAGCCTTCTTGAGATCAAAGGATGCTGCATCGGTAACAATGTTACCACCAATTACGTTAGCCTAATCTTCCTGTGCCACTGGAGGCTGGTAAAGCAATAATGGTCTATACTCAAAACTGTGCTTTTCATCTGCACAAATTTCACCTTTTCTAATCTTTTGAGGATCCTCCCTAGGGGTTTAATAAAAGCACCTGTTGGACTGACAGGAAGATCATTCTAGACGGAATTTCTAAGTCTGGTTTTGACGACCGGATCGATGATATCATCCTTCCTAGATGCTTCTACCAACCCGGTAATATCCTGGACACAACTGACAACGTTCCATTCATAGTCTTGGTAATGATGATAATATATGCTCCCAAGTAACTTGAAGTCTTCTCGATTCCTTCATTTTCAAAAAAGAACTGCTGGAGGTGAGACCATCCCGTTTCGCTTTATTAAATAAAAGTATTCAGGCCGCAGTATTTGATCTGCTTGGGAAGCAAGCAAAATTCCATGATGGCATAAACTGTTGATCGACGAGCAGTTGGATACTACTCACATCAACCAGAAGTACTTGCCGATCATACTGAAGCAACCTTGTTGTGCTATGAGCAAACACAAAAATGAGTTCGGGATATCTAATAAATATATAGATCCACGAAGGTTAAAGTTTTATTAATCCAACAAGTGTAATGACGCGTCGAGGTCAAAAGTCGTCGGAGTCGGAGTCAGTAAGTTATCGTCGGGCGCACCAATTTGTTGTTGGACATATTTTGACTGAACTAGCATACACGTATATCTTAGTACTTCTTCGCGTTTATATTTGTGCCCTAACGTTGTGATTACTCGACATGCACAACGTAATTCAAAAGGCACTTGCGAAGGAATACGATAGTGTATTATTGCAGCAATCAAATTCAAAAATCGAGCGAGTACAAAAAGTATCAATTGTTAACATGCAAGATTTAGAGTAATAAACAAATCAAAGTACAATTACACAATGAAAGTATAGTACTATGATGAGTAATAACATGGGTCACTACAATAGCCCCTCCGTAGAATGCAGGTAAATGAAGTTTACCTGTATTCGGAATGATATTGTAAATTACAATGACACAAAAAAAATATATGAGTTTTTGTTATAAAAACCGAATTGAGGATTTTAAGTTTTTGAGGTTTGATAATATAACTGTATATATGCAAAAATGTTAACAACTTCGAAACGAACCAAAATGTTTAGAAAGTTGTGCAAAATGTAACAATAAAACCAGAAAAATTATTAGAATAATGATGAGGTTGTTATTGTAAGGAGTTATAGAATAGATTTATATCTTAACATACAGTTAATAGTACAGTAATAAGATAGTATGGAAATGACTTGGGTAAAAATTCAGTTACCTCTGTTTCCATGAAAGCTGGTTGTACAAGTGGAATTGTACAAGAAAAGATGGCTGTGCCAGAGAAGAGTGCAGCAGTAGCTGCTGCTGCTGATACGGTTGAAAGTGAACGTCCGTCAGCATGTTGTTGTTGTTGCTGGGGTGTTGTTACTCGGCGTTGAGCAGTAAATTGAATTGATGTTTGCTGAGGTTGGAGAGTAGAAGTTGGTTGATTGATAGCCATTGCAACAAGAGCAGTTGGCATAAACTGTGGTAAACCAGTGGTTTGAATCAATTGACCGTTAGGACCAACAGTCATGACTTTCAATGGAGCTCCTGGTGCCAGAGTGATAAACTGGGGAGTAGCATAGGAGCATGAAGCTACAGTACCCGGTTGACCACTGACAGAGACGTCAGTTGCCATCATTGTTGGTTGTTGCTGATGTTGTTGGATATAAGTTTGCTGTTGTGCTGGTTGTAACTGATGAGCTTGTGCTTGAATCTGTTGTTGTTGTTGAGGTGATTGGGTAAACTGTTGTAATTGAACAGCTGTAGGACCGGCTTGAGTAAATGGAGTTGCAGACCATTGTAAGAGTGTTTGCACACCTGTAGACAATGCTGAAGCTTGAGGACAGAGAACTGGAATTGAGGTGTTGCATAACAGCCAGCTGCTACAGCTGCTTGAGTATCAGGGTGAACTGGGATAGCAGCCGCTGTGCCGCCAGGTCCGGAGGTACTTTTAGCAGAAATATCAGTAATTATACATGCAAATGTTATGAAGTTATAAAAGTTAATGCGATGGCAAAGATGATTTATTCCACTGTGTATACTTCGAAATGATGTAGTCCATCAATCAGCTACGTCGGGCTCGCCAATTTGTTGTTGGACATATTTTGACTGAACTAGCATACACGTATATCTTAGTACTTCTTCGCGTTTATATTTGTGCCCTAACGTTGTGATTACTCGACATGCACAACGTAATTCAAAAGGCACTTGCGAAGGAATACGATAGTGTATTATTGCAGCAATCAAATTCAAAAATCGAGCGAGTACAAAAAGTATCAATTGTTAACATGCAAGATTTAGAGTAATAAACAAATCAAAGTACAATTACACAATGAAAGTATAGTACTATGATGAGTAATAACATGGGTCACTACAACCTAAACAGTGGTAATTGTGGTGGTACATATAAATCACCTGATTACCATTCGGGTAGTTTGGATTGATTCGCCTATCTAAAATGAGTTGCACCGCTTAACTGCTCGGCTGAGAAGGGACGAAGCCGCTGCCACATCGAACTGGTTCGAAAGAACAGTAATAGTAGTATAAACCAAACAGATTATTCCCTGATAGAATAAAGCAATTATTTAGACTTGTGATTTATAGTATGGAACATTTCTGTGTGGTCGATATTTGTTTCTTTTTCTTTTCACCTTTCAGACTCCAAGTGAGACGTAGAGCTTCAAGCTTTGAGCCTTGGGGTTTCGATAGAGGCTGGGGATTTTAGCTTTCTTTGTCTTCTCCTATTTGTCGTATGGGTAGTAGATTTCTCAGATATCGGGGACATGTGATGAATCATTCCTATTACATGTATTTGCAGTTGATTCGATAAACAAAGCTTCTGTTATCAATCTCTCCCTATACCCTGTGACATTAGATTTTAAAACTGTCATCCTATCCCATCCTTTAAAGGATCCTGTAGAGCCTTTAAGACAAAACAATTTAGTTTATCTAATACCCTGCTGGAATGATTGTCAGGTCAAATACATAGGTCAAACTAGTAGAACAGGGGCAGTCAGTCAGACTAGCAGAGCATAAAAACCTAGCAAAATCTAGATTGGTTGACCCGAATAAGATAAAAAATCTAGAGAATAGTTCAGCTATAGCACTCACTACATGCAGTTACACACAACCATACAATAGGATGGGATGGGATAGGATGACAGTTTTTAAAATCTAATGTCATAGGGTGGAGGGAAGAGATTGATAACAGAAGCTTTGTTTATCGAATCAACTGAGAGCGAATACATGTAATAGGAATGATTCATCACCTGTCCACCAAGGTTTCTGGAAAATTCTACTCCCCCTACGACGACAAATAGGAGAGAACAAAGAAAACTATAAAACTCAAGTGTCAAAGTCGTGTGATTACAATTGATGAGATGATTATGAACAATAAATTTTGTTCGAAACTTTGTCATCCAGTAAATAATACTGTTTCGCTCACTGTGTAATATATCTAATAAACAAACTAATATGGAACAACTTTCTATGTGCTTACTACAGGGCTAGCGAATTAGGCAAGGTTTAAGGGTGCGTCGTCGGGAAATTCACCTGGGACCTTCCGAGTACCTCGTAGGTACACCAACTCTGAACCACTGACACGCACACACTTTTCGCCTCCTGAATGATAATAACCTTATTGGAAAGGTGTGTAAGTAACTGAAACTTTACAAAAAACGAAAGAAATACAGAATTATAAATAAATTCATTTATATTTGTACGAAAATAGACTGAACGTTTGGTAAAACAAACTTTTTCCATGTATACATTTGATTTAAATGTAAACAAAGTGACATGAATAATCATAATAATAGTTACAAAACTGAGTACTGTTTCATCCTTCATTATCACTACAATTATGCACCTTAGTGCTGGCTACAATTTGCATTATATTATTACTATTATTGATATGTGTAAAATTCTTATCCAAATAACTAAAGGCTTCATTGTCTGTAGGAACCACGTTGGCTCTCTGACATGTCAATTTCTTGTTTATACAATTCTCAGATCCAGTATTTTAGTAATTATTATTATTATTATCACAATTCTTATTAATATTGTTATTGATAAATTGATTACAGTATAGTAAGTGATGATGGCATGGGAATTTAAAATATTCATACGAATTATTATTATTATTATTAATATCAGATTCACTGCAACAAACTTGACTTTTATTGAACATAGAATTCAATCGGAGTTCATTTAAACAAACAGCATTATTATTGTTATCAACATCGTTTTCATGCTCATAATGAAATACTAAAGAATTTCTGTACTGAAGTATTCTCTTACTGTTAATGCCTTTTTGATTATTGTGTATAAATTTTGCTGAACAACGAGGAATTGTAGTGCAAAATTCTCCTCCAATTTTAGGATGAAATATGCCAGTTTGATCTATTTCACTACTATTATTTATAAGAGTAGTAGTATCAGCGCTAACATCTGATATTCTACTTTTAAAATGTGGACAAGTCAAGTAACTGGATTCAGATGGAATGCTCATATGAATTAACCGACCTTGACAAGTTACTGTATCCCAGAAAAGAAAAGAAAAAGGGAAAATTCAAAGTGAAAATTACCAGTAATAGTGAAATACATACTTTTTTCAACAGAACGTTTAATTACATTGTAAATTATTTAAATTAATTCAAGCGTGTTAAGAAAATCAAAACAGGATTTTTCTGAACGTTTCGCTGTGTAAGCCGCAGCTTCTTCAGCAGATTTATTCGGATTTTTATTAATCATCAAAATATATAGTCAGTTTATTTGAATGTCATTTGTCCATGGACATTTTTACCAATAGAAATGTGTAGGTTTTGATGTGGTTTCTTTGTTTACTAGTATTTCTATTTGTGATTCACTCGATATTATGAAATATGAACTTGAAAACAATCAAGAAGTATTAACTAGATCTTTATGATTTACAGCTTGATTCCACACCGTATTTTCAGTACAAGTATAGCATTTTCAACATGGATATCGGTAGCCCAAATTTTGCAGGCCGACCATAGATATCGGGCGTGCGTCGGCAGGGGATCGAACCCCGGACCATGTGCATGGTTGGCGAGAGTCCTAACCACTGTGTATCAATAGATGAAGTTATAAAATGCTTAAAACTTTGTTTGGAATCTACATATTTGACCTTTAAAGACAAACTATACTGTCAAACAAATGGTGTTGCAATGAATTCACCAGCATCTCCAATTGTAGCATACCTGTATAAGAAAGCCATAGAAAAGAAGGCATTGACAAGTTTTTGGTTGTCATCCTAGAATATGGTACAGATATGTAGATGACACATTTCTTTCTAACAGAAATTAACTTAATCTCAGAATATATTGAGTTTTACTAATGAAGTAGAATCGGCTGAAGGAACTCTAAACTTTCTTGATTGTCTTGTAAAAAGACAAACTGACGAGAAACTGAAGCTAACCATATACAGAATGCCAACACCTTTCCAATCAGATCATCCAACAGGAATGAAAGTTTCAGTAGCTTTAAATCTCGTTAACATAGCTAGAAACATTATAACAGATATGATGATGATATGGAGAACGAGATATCCAATATAAAACAGATTTTGATTGGAAATGGTTATCCTGAAAAGCTACTAGATAATATTATCAATAGAAAGGAGCATAAAGGAAAAAAAATTGAAAAATCCTGGCTATCGACGATAGCCAATCCATATCGAAAGGACACAGCTGAACAACTTCAAAGACTGTTTGCCTCATATAATATTAAAGTCTATGTCAAACCTTCTAATTCTCTGGAAGAAAGCGTTGGTGTATGGTTTATAGGGGGAGATCAGTAGACAGGTGAAGGTCAGAGTGAATGAACATAGACTATGCACGAAACGTCCACCTAGAAATGAAGTAGAACTAAAACGTCTAGAAAAAAGATCCGCTATAGCAATGCATGCTATAGACAGCGGACATAAGATTGATTTCGACAATGTCGAAATTCTTGGAAGAGGATTTCATTCACATAAACAAAGGTTGACCTCTGAAGCCTTGCAGATTTTAACCACATCGAATGCAGTGAATAGGAAAGAAGGGATAGACTTATCAGCCATATGGCAAACTCTTATGAAGCAAGACAGATGAAAAAACAACAAAAACTCTATGAGCCTCCATGACTTTTTAAAACATGTAGGATCATGTTTATCACATGTGAATTGACGTCCTTCCATATGACAAATAACATACACACACACACTCATACAAAACTAATCCTTACAAATCAACTATAGAAAAATATACACAATAACAATTTGACATTACGATAGAGAAAGAAAGACCAGATTTGCAGTATAAAATGATATCATTCTATTTCACAGGTTCTCATCAGCTGCAAACTACCTGAAATTACAATGGTTATAAATAATAACATTTCACACTTCATTGTTTGAAAGGTAATACAGAAAGCATTATAAGATAAAGGCATCCGGAATAAAAGGATTAAAATTTTTTGTTGTTTAAGTTACCATCAATTTATATACTATCAAACTATGGAAAAAAGAAAGAAAAAGGGGGGGGGGTGAGAGAAGACAGAAAACAGAAAAATCTAATAAACAGTGTCAACATGGCAACTCAACAAGGCCAAAGTTCATCAATTTGAAAACTTGCTTAGTGTATGTTTAAACATAAAAAGGACAGCGAATCTACTACGATTTGCTGAAGCAATTGCAATCAAACGCTTCAGACCAAACTTATGCACACAGAAAGAGAGTGTAGTCAATCTCTCACTCCATTGGTAACCATATCACTTTCATTACAGTGATTACTCATAGACACTAGTGAGTTCAACTCACTAAGCAAGTTTTCAAATTGATGAACTTTGACCTTGTTGAGTTGCCATGTTGACACTGTTTATTAGATTTTTCTGTTTTCTGTCTTCTCTCACCCCCCCTTTTTCTTTCTTTTTGCCATAGATTGATAGTATATAAATTGATGGTAACTTAAGCTACAAAAATATTAATCCTTATATTCCGGATGCGTTTATCTTATAATGCTTTCTGTATTACCTTTCAAACAATGAGGTGTGAAATGTTATTAATTATAACCATTGTAATTTCAGGTGATGTGCAGCTGATGAGAACCTGTGAAATAGAATGATATCATTTTATACTGCAAATCTGGTCTTTCTTTCTCTATCGAAATTTATTAAGGGAACCAAATGTATGAAATTTGACCTTATTCATTACAAATATATGATGACTGCTTACATATTTCTGTTGGTAAAAATGTCCATGGACAAAGGACCTTCAAATAAACTGACGTCAATTTTTGTAAAAAAAATTTTTTTTTACTATATATTCTGATGATTAATAAAAATCCGAATAAATCTGTGAAGAAGCTGCGGCTTACACAGCGAAACGTTCAGAAAAATCCTGTTTTGATTTTCTTAACACGCTGGGATTAATTTATAATAATAATTTATAATGAATCAATCTGACTCGACGCTCAAATTATTCCAGGAAGTTCGTAACACCCACGGCCTGGAAACCTATAGTTTAATTACATTCTTTCAAACTAATTGACTGCTGAATAACAGTCGGTAAGGTAAATATCTAATCTATTTTCACCTTCATCTAACCTAATACAGGTGGAATTATCTATTGGGAGGCTTTCATTATTCTGAAATTAGTGTGGAAGTATACACAACTCAGTAACAAAAGGAATAAGACCCGAATAATTGACACTATTGTCAAGTCAGTCAGTGCTTCTGTATAGTTCACAGATTTGGAGCATCACGCATCACGAAAAGCGTTTCCAATAGATAGCTATCTTTGTCCGATACTGAAGAGTGGATACCTGCCCAGAAGGGATAAACAACTGCCAACAACTGATAAGAGTCTAAAAGTCTGTTGCACAATAAATATGCAGAAAGAAATGGAGATGCATCAGACATACACTCTAAGGAGACTAATGAGTGACATCATACACTAGATCTTTCAGTGGAACCTGAGTGTGAAGCAACGAGTTCGCAGTTCGAGAGTGACATGTAAAATACATGAAGAGGAAATCAAAACCTGTGAGCAATAGTGAAGTCAACTAAGAAACTTCAACGCACAAATATATTAATAATATTAATTTTTGCTTTATTCCTGGAGAAAAGGTTACCTCGTGAAACTACCAAAGAAGGGTGACTTAGGACTCTGCAATAATTGGCGAGGAATCATGCTCCTGTCGACGCCAAGCAAAATCCTGAGTCGCATCATCCTGGAGAGAATAAACCACGCACTGGATACAGAACTCCGACCAGAACAAGCTGGATTCAAGGAAGGCAAATCATGTTCTGACCAAATTCCAACTCTACGCATCATCATCACAGAACAAAGCATGGAATGGCAATCAAACCTCTACCTCAACTTCATAGACTTTGAGAAGGCCTTCGACAGCGTTGACCGCGAAGTAATTTGGAAACTACTTGAGTACTACGGCCTACCCCAAATATTCATCAACCTTATTCAACAGCTGTTCGACAACGGCACATGTCAAGTGATCCACAACGGAAAACTCAGCGAGGCGTTTCGAGTAAACACAGGAGTCAGACAAGGGTGCTTATTATCACCAATGATATTCCTAATTGTGGTGGACTGGAATATGCGTTGTCAGACAGTGGGAAACGAGAAGACAGGGATATCCTGGACCGACATGAAGAACCTAGAAGACCTGGATTTCGCGCGTGGATGACTTATGTTTCATGTCACACAAAATCGAAGACTTACAAGCGAAAACCGACCGACAAAATGGTCGAAGAAGCAGCCAGAGAAGGCAGGACTCCAGGTGAACATAGACAAGACGGAGGTTATGTAAATGACCAACCAACAACAACAACAGCAAAATCCAGCACCAATCACCATCAACGGGAGGGATTTGAAAGAGGTTACTTCATTCACTTATCTAGGAAGCAGTGTCTCAACTACACGAGGAACGGACGAGGATGTACAATCGAGAATCGGGAAGGCGAGAAACACATTCATCAACCTGAAACCAATCTGGAAATCTTCGTCACTCAACTCAGCATCAACAACAAAATGATTCGGATTTTCAATACAAACGTCAAGTCAGTCAGTCAGTCAGTTCTTCTATACGGATGGATCAGAAAGTTGGCCAGTGTGTCACAAAGAATATTTCCAACAGCCTGTTGCAGACCTTTATCAACAACAACTGTCTTCGCTGGCTCTATACTGAAGATCAATGAGATGGCCGGAAAGAACAAGAACCAACAAGAAACTATGGGAACAAACAAAACAAGAAGCAATCGCTGAACAAATATGCAGGAGAAAGAAGTGGAGATGGATTGGACACTCGCTGAGGAGGCGGCTGGGTGACATTGCGCGTCAGGGGAGTGCTCGAGTGGAACCAGAAAGGGAAGCGGCGAGTGGGACGTCAGTGCAAGGGTGACATGGAGGAGATCGTGTGAAGAGGAGTTGAAAAAGAATGGACTAACATGGAGACTTACAGGAGAAGACAGAAGGAAGTGGAGACGTGCAGT